AGCTTCAGTACCTTCACCCTGGACACGTGGAGTCTACTAAGATTCAACCACCAGATTACCATGTGACATTTAAAAGAGGTATACCGGTTCCTAACTGCAAAAGCTCTAGAACGGTGTTGTTCAATACAGCAGGCACTAGTTATATGCATCTACTGAGGACTTGCCATGTGGCTAGTACTGAAATGTATGCACTCAGGACAGCATAAATGACACAGCACATTTCAAAGTCCTGGCAAACACTCCCCCCCCCCAAAAATAGTGCCATAATTTCTACCCCAGCTATATGTTATAACATTTGGATATATCGAGTTAAAATATCTATTTATATTATTAAAGCTAATTTCATATATTTTATCTTAAGACTACTAAAATTTTTTGAATTATATGTATCATACGTGTATTTCTATTGGACACTACTGCATAACTTTTTTTTTTTTTTTTTTTGAGTCCAAGTCTCACTGTCGCCCAGGCTGGAATGCAGTGGCACACTCACGGCCATCTACAGCCTCGACCTGCTGGGCTCAGGCCATCCCTCTGCCTCAGCCTTCTAAGTAGCTGGAACTTCAGGAATGCGCCACCACATCCAGCTAATTTTTTGCTTTATCTGTAGAGATGAGGTCCTGTCAGGTTTCCCAGGCTAGTCTCAAACCTGTGGACTCAGACAATTCTCTCATCTTTGCCTCCCAAAGTACTGGGATTATAGGTGTGAGCCACTGTGTCTGGCTCCAACTTTAATTAACGGCACATGCATCACCAATTAATTCACAAAAGCAGCACTAGTGAAATACAGGATTTAGAATATTACAATTTTTTTTTTTTGAGTCGGAGTCTCACTCTGTCGCCCAGACTGGAGTGCAGTGGCCGCTCCCGGCCACCGCAGCCTCGACCTGCTGGGCTCCGACGATCCTTCCGCCTCAGCCTTCCGAGTAGCGGGAACTACAGACGCGCACTACCACGCCTGGCTGATTTTTGATTTATTGTAGAGATGAGGTCTCGTCAAGTTGCCCAGGCGGGTCTCGAACCCGCGGGCTCAGGCAATCCACTCACCTCAGCCTCCCAAAGGCGCAGGATTACAAGCTGAGCCGAGACTGGCTTACAATTTTTGAGTTGGAGTCTCACTCCTGTCACCCAGGCTGGAGTGCAGTGGCACGCTCATAGCCACCACAGCCTCAATCTACTGGGCTCCAGCGATCCTTCCGCCTTAGCCTTCCAAGTAACTCAAACTACAAACGCACACACCTGGGTAGTTTTTGTGATTCATTGTAGAAACAAGGTCTCACCAAGTTGCCCAGGCTGGTCTCGAACCCCTGAACTCAGGCAATTCTCTCGCCTCGGCCTCCCAAGTGCTGGGATCAGACTGGGTCACCGCACTCGGCCTTTTTTGAATCAGGATCTCACTCCACTGCCCAGGCAGGAGTGCAGTAACACACTCACAGCCACCGCAGCCTTGACCTGCTGGGCTCAGAGGATCCTTCCGCCTTAACCTTCCAAGTAGCTGGGACTATAGGCGTACACCAAGATGCTCAGCTAATTTTTTGATTTATCGGTCCCACCATGTTGCCCAGGCTAGTCTTAAACTCCTGGTCTCAAACAATTCTCTTGCCTCTGCCTCCCAAGGTGCTGGAGTGACAGGGGTGAACCACTGCACTCAGTCTGTTTAATTTTATCGTGGATAAAGTTACAGGGATGGGGAAAACGTTAAACTCAGAGAACCTAATTTCTAATATTTTTTGAGTTGGAGTCTCACCCTATCGCCCAGACTGGAGTGCAGTGGCCGCTCTCGGACACCGCAGCCTTGACCTGCTGGACTCCGGTGATCCTTCCGCCTCAGCCTTCCAGTAGCTGGAACTACAGGCGCGTGCTACCATGCCCAGCTAATTTTTGACTTATTGTAGAGATGAGGTCTCGCCAAGTTGCCCAGGCAGGTCTCGAACCCGCGGGCTCAGGCAATCCACTCACCTCAGCCTCCCAAAGCGCTGGGATTACAGGCTGAGCCGCCGAGCCCGGCTATGAATTTTCAATGTTCATGCAGTGAATGAAGCTGTAAGTAGAAGAATCACCAGCCTACTAATCGTGTCTGGGGATGACTCCATTTTCCCTGTACAACTATTGTGTTCACTAAACCACTAAGTATAGCCCATGTATAAATGTCAAAACAGCACTTGGCACATGGGAAAAAAAATCAGTAGCTATAATTTCCAACATAGAAATTTAATCTTTTAATACTCACATAATAGTTGGGTTATTTTTGTGTGGGGGCCGAGGGGTAGTTTTTTGTTTTTAAAGATATGGGTTCTGGTGTGTTACCCAATCTGGCCCCAAGAAATCTACCCACCTCATCCTCCCAAGTAGCTGGGACACAAACATCCAGCTAACAGTTTATTATATAATCTTCTCTAAATGTTACTTAAGCTTGAAGTATGCTTCTACCATGAAATCCATTGTTTCACCACACATGACTAGAAATGAAATGACAATAAAACATTAAAGAATCTGGATAAGAAAACATGAAGGCCAGCTGGGCTATGTGGCCTATAATCCCAGCCCTTTGGGAGGCCAAGGTGAGTGGATTGCCGGAGCCCACAGGTTCGAGACCAGCCTGGGCAACTTTGTGAGACCTCGTCTCAACAAGTCACAAAAAAATTAGCTGGGCGTGATGGCACATGCCTCTAGTTCCGGCTACTCCGAAGGCTGAGGCGGAAGCAGCGCTGGAGCCCAGCTGGATGATGCTGGAGTGACCCTGAGTGTACCGCTGCATTCCAGCCTGGGCGACAGACTGAGACTACAACTCAAAAAAAAACCAAAACCAAAAAACCATAAAAGTCTTAGAAGGACACTTTTCAAGGTGTTAACCTTACAAGAATTATGCTCATGAGGTCCTTCTCCATTTGTATTTTCTTTTTACAAAGAAAAGATGTCAAACCACCCATCCGAACAAATTGAGGCTAATAGTAAACCCCTAACTTTCCGAAACCAATTAAGTTTTAATGACTTGGATTATCTGACATTAAACTTATTTATGGGGAAAAAAAATCAAACACAAGCTTTATTTATTTATTTATTTTTGAGTTGGAGTCTCACTCACTCTGTCACCCAGACTGGAGTGCAGTGGCCGCTCCCAGCCACCGCAGCCTTGACCTGCTGGGCTCCGACGATCCTTCCGCCTCACAGCCTTCCGAGTAGCTGGAACTACAGGTGCACGCTACCACGTCTGGCTAATTTTTTTTTATTTATTATAGACATGAGGTCTCACCTGCCCAGGTGCGTCTCGAACCCGCGAGCTCAGGCCATCCACTCACCTCAGCCTCCCAAAGGCACGGGATTACAGGCTGAGCCACCGAGCCTGGCCACAAGCTTTAACAAATTAAAATTTGTGAGAATATAGAAAGTATATCATTGTTGGTTCTATTAACAGAAAATTGTCAACTGGATTCTCCAAAGATAAATCACTATACACATTCCATATCTATCAGGCATAAATTTTTTTCCCACCTTGGGAGGATCATAGCTCTGGGTAATTATATACATCTGTTTAAAAAGGATTACATATTTAGGGACAACCCCTTTGGGTCCCCTCCCACTGTGGGAGCTTTTCTGTCCTCTCAATAAATCCTGTTTTCTAAAAAAAAAAAGATGACATATTTAAATGTGTGGTACTCTCAAGATATTTCTGCGTATCAAGTTTTCAAAGGAAAACCCACAGTTCATTCAATATGACCATCAGAGTCTCTCAAATATATTTTTTAAAGTAAAAAAAAAGCCGGGCTCAGTGGCTCAGCCTGTAATCCCGCGCCTTGGGAGGCTGAGGTGAGTGGATTGCCTGAGCCTGCGGGTTCAAGACCCGACTGGGCAACTTGGCAAGACTTCATCTCTACAATAAATCAAAAAATTAGCTGGGCATGGTA